CGAATAAAGCATATCTTTGCGAACAATTGTATCAGGATATTTTCCAGTAACTGCGGGAATATTTTTAACTGCAATATAACTAAAATATCTTCTGACAGCTTTAGATTCATTTTCGGCGTATTTAATATTAAAATATTGAAGAACTTGTTTGATTATATTCGTTTTTTCATCTCTCGATGTTGATTTTTGGTATTTATCAGATTGTTCCCTGATAAATATTTTATTTTCGTCTGTAAAGTTTGCTCTTTTTTGATTAAATATAGATGATTTTCCCATTAAAAAATGAAATGATGCAAAATTTACGAAAACCGTTCGAAAATTGAATCAAAAATGAAAAGTAATACTTAAATGAGGAATTCTTTGAGATATTGGTCTTAGATTGAATGTAGCGTCATTCTTATATAGAATATATATTCATATCATCGGAAATATGATAAAAAGCATATAATAAATGTCAAAAAAGTGAACAAATAAGCAAAGATATTTTTTAAAAAACAATGAAAAGTAATACTTAAATGAGGAATTCTTTGAGATATTGGTCTTAGATTGAATGTAGCGTCACAAATTTCACAAATATAATTTACTATACAATTTTATTCATTTTTTTAAAATGGCTGACGACAGTCTGTATCAACTAACTCAACTAGTCAAGCATAATGATTATTCTTCGGATTCATTAAATCAACTTTATCAATGCATAAGTACAATGACAGAAAGATCAATTGGATGCTTGAATTGGGATAAATTTTTCAAAAAAATCACAGTGACTGATGAAGTTCTTTTACATTTTTTAGCATCCGTTTTAAACATTGAAAAGATATCAGAATGTTTCAAGGATTCTATTTTTTATCACAATATTAATCTTGAAAAATTCAGTAATTTAACTGAAACAGAACAACAAACAATTTTAAATTCCTACAAAGCGGATAAATTTACATATTACATAATGTGCTCACAAATTGTAAAATCAAACTGGAACAATTTATCCCAAACTTTAGTTAATATTGCAAATCAATATTTGCCATTTTTAGATGAAGAAAAGCAAATATATATATTTACTGAAATAACTGGCAATTATCAAAATTTTGAAATTTCAGTTGCAAACTTGTTACTTTTTTATGAAAACAATGAAGAAAAATTAAGCAACTGTTTTAATTTAACATTGTTCCAGCAAATTTATTCCAAAAATGGAATCGAGCAAATGATATTTTTTGCTGCAAATACAATTTGTTGCAATAACACTTCTATCAATTTTTACAATCTCCTTGAAATTGAAGAAATGAATCCATTTGATTTTTTTATTTCTCAATTCAATATAAAGAGATATTAAATTGCGATGATTTTCCAAAAGTTACAGAAGTAATCACAGGTTTAATCTCAGCTTCAAATATTAATGCTATTATGCGAATTTGCCAAAAAAATTTGGATAAAATTACATTTTATAAATGTAATTATTGCCATATTACCTCAATATGGAATTTTATCACAAATGCAGCAATAATTCTTCCTGATGAAGATTTATTAATCAAATTATTAAAATTCATAGAAAAAACAGAAAAAGCAACAGATGAATTATTCGAACCGGAGAATGATTTGGGTTTCTATGAATATTTAAATTCGATTTTCTCAGATATTACATCTGCGAGAAATAAGCAATTTCTCTTGGAATTTCTAAATACCCATGAAGATGACTTCACTTATGATCAAACATTGTGAGGTCATTTTTGATCAACAAATTAATTGAAATTCCGATCAAAAAAAAATTCACAAATTGGATCAAAAAAATCGAATCTCAAGTTCAAAAATAAAAATTTCTACATTTTTATCAAATTTAGATTTTTTTTTTCAAATCATGCGAATTGATTGAATAATTGCATATTTTATCCCATGCATCTAGAAGTATGTGTAATATTTTTGCTTTCATCAAGAAATTGTCGAATTTGATCTTAATTTTTTTTGAAAAATATACTTTTAGAAAAAGAAATAGTGATTGAATAGCTGCCCATGCTGTAAAAAGGTTATTTTTACAAGTAAAAAAATTGTTATTTTTCGAGCAAGTCGAGGCTTTTTTACCATCTTATTTTTGAAAAATTTACGAAAAATTATATCTGAAAAAACGCTTCATTTTGATATCTTACAATGATAAAATACCAATGTTGCTGGGATATAATAGCTACACCTGGACATCTACTACATTAATGCGTATGACAGGTAAAGTTGATTTCAAAAGTATAGCCTGGAAAGATTACAATAAATCGACGATAATTCAAAAAAATTTCTTATAAGTTAACATAATAAAAATTTAATTTTTATATTGCTTGTATTATACTTAAGTATATAATATATTTAAATCTTAGAATGAAAATTCGGGACGCCCTAGCTATTCAATTTTCCCTTAGGACGCCCATAAACCTCTCAAAAATGTGATGTAAATATCACAATTTTGAGAAATTTACACTAGGACGCCAACCCCCTTTTTTACCTATTTTTTCTTAGATATAATTCTATTCATTCAATTCGATCGTCATTTTTCAGTACATGATCGTAATTTTCAATTATTGATCGCGATTTTACTTCAGAATTTGTTCGCAATATTGCTTATCAAAATTATATCTCTATTCTCTCATTTCTGTTTAGTCAATATCATTACACTCCTATTGTCTAATAACATGCTATTAATTTTCTTAAAATTAAAAAAAAATATCAACTTTTAAAAACAGAAACTTAACATCCTTAGGTCAATGGATTTTGATGTGAGATACATTTAATCTGTTTTTCTTTTTTTATTTTAAATAATTGAATATTTATAGTTGTTATGGGTCTTACATCATGTAAAACGAATTTTCTGAAAGTAAATTTACTTTTTCTTCAATCTTTCTTACATATTTATTAAAAAAAAATTATCCAAAAAAAGATGTTTTAGAATGAAAAAAAAATAGAAAAATCTTCATTTATAGTCTTTCTTGAATGTATACGTTTTGATTTTTTTTCTTTTTTAAAAAATTCAATTTCTAGAAAAATCGAGAAAAAATCATTTTCTTCTATTTTTTTAGGACGCCATACCCATTGAAATCTCCTCTCAGGACGCCATAAACTATTCAATTATGGTGTAAACTTCTCAAAAATTGAATAGTTTATATCGGGACGCCTTAGGACGCCAACCCTTTACGCGCCCAAAGATATCTAATTTTTGAATTTCAAATTCTATATTTAAATAATCTATTTAATAGAATACAACTAATATACACGGCCAACTATTTTTTTGACCAAAGCTTCGATTGTTTTCTTCGGGTATTTAGATTCGATATGATTTAACTGTGCGTAAAGTTCCTTTCCCTCATTGGTCTCGAATTCGTGATAAGCCTCTTTAACTTTGATTTCTTCATACAATTTTTTGATATCTTCGACAAATTCTTCGTGGCCGATCTTTTGGTCCAAAGTCTTTTTCTGCTCATCATTGGCTAGCTCGTATGCCTTACAGAACAACCATGTGTTCTTTCCATCTTTGATATCCGACCCAATCTTTCCTGTGACTTGAGGATCGCCGTAAACATCGAAATAGTCATCCTGTACTTGGAAATAGTAGCCAAGTCTTAGAGCAAACTTTTCAATGCTTTCGAATTTGTCTGTAACTTCGAATTTTTGGCTGGCAATTAGTCCAAGGATAATTGGCGCACATAATGAGTAATGTGATGTTTTGTTTCTAACGGAAACTTCGTAGCTTTCGAAAGATTTTGTTTTGTTGATAAAATCGAGTGTTTGGCCCATTGTTGTGATTGTATTGATTGTACGAAGATACTGAACTAATCTTGCATAAGATTTGATATTTAATTTGCTTCGAACTGAGTCTAAAAGTACAAATGCAAGATTTTCAACAATCATTGCATCATTTACGGCTTGCTCATTAACAGATTCAATCTTATACCAGCAAATCATACCACGTCTGGTTTCACTTTGGTCCATAAAGTCATCTGCAATAAGAAAAGCCGCTTGCATCAGTTCTAGCACCCAGCCAATAGTGTAACCTATTTTCGCTTCTTCGGAATCAGGATCGCATCCTGTTGACTCAATAAAAGCAGATGCGCAAACAACTCCACGCGTTAATTTTCCGCCTTTAGTCGAGTAATCAAGAACTTCCAAGCAGTGTTTTTCTACCCAATCAACGCTCATGGATTGTAGATAGTTTGAAATGATATTCCTCGCCACTGTATAGAATTCACAGAATTGCTTGGCGCCAATCATAGAAAAAAATGTTTTTAAAAAATCAAAACTTTAAATTTTTTTTTAGGAAATTCCATGAAGAAAAGGATTTTTTTTTCAAACAGGAAAAAGTATTCGTATGAGATGGGTTCCATAACGTAGGGATATCATATGAATTGATTCCATTTAGTGAATTTTATTTCAATTTATAATTATTCCATTAATTATTCCGATTGAAACAAAATTTGAATTGTGAACGGAATAAATATTGGAAAACAGATAAAGCTATGAACGCTGCACTTCAATGAGGAAGCAATTATAAAGATTGCTAACAATGATTACACAAGATACAAAAAGGCATTTAAAATTTGGCAACTTTCTTGAGTGTTCCTTCCTTTCAAAGTAATTGAAAATAATTTGGAGAGGTTTGCTATTCTCTACTTACATGTCTGGGACATTTTTTTTCCAAAGTACATCACCGCATGAGACGATTTGTCAGAACTTTGTAGATTGAATATAGAGCAAATTGGCTAATTGAAAAGATAATAAGGCTAAATTCATCCAAAGTCTCTAATTCAGTAAGAAACTTCGAATGAAATCGGCTTTCTATGAAATATTCACAACGAATGGGGTCGTTTTTGAGAGCGAGCGTCCTTTCTGTACAAATTTTGCGGACTATAGTCATTTCTAATAATGATGGTAAAAATGATTATGCTTTCTCAATAATTATTAATGATATCAATATTTTTGTTAAAAATAGTTATGATCTCTCATGCACATGAAATAATAAAACAAAGTATTTACATATTTCTAATGATATCCATATTTTTGATAATTGTACTTTCAATATCAGATAAAAACGCCAAAGTTGCGTTTATGCTTGCAGCAGAAGGGATAATTCCATCAAGCATACATTCTGCTCCTTTTATTTGCGTCTGTAACTCTACAGAAAAATCGTAAGCGGATTTCGCAGATCCAGGGAATATAGTATTGGCAAACTTTTGTCCTGCAAACCAATCCATTGCAGTGTAAAACTTTTCACTCAAAGACATCAATCCTTCAATGTGAATTCTTAAATTTTTGGCTTTTTCAGCATCTTCTATGGATTTGATAAATAAATTACTTGCATTTCGACATATAGTGCATGCATTCTCTAAATCAGCTATTATATAGTCTTTTTTGATGGTCATAATATATAAATATTCTGAATGCTTCAGTAACTCGGTATTAACAGCTTGCTGACGTTCTTTGTATTGATCTAATTCTTTATGCTTAGAAATTTCGGCTTTTGATACTTCCAAATATTGATTTTTAAGATCATCTATGTATTTCGTAAATTCTGGAGTCTGGCTCATTCTCATATTGATATTTTTCATGATTTCTTCTGAATATTGGTGATTTATTAAATTATGGAGACATAATGGAGATAATTTTTGGAAATTAATCAACGAAAAGCTTTGAAAATCATGCTTATCTGTCATCAAGATCTTTTTAAGTAGAAATTCAGCTTTATGATCTTCGCTTTCAAAAAGATCATCAAGTTCAAATAAAATATTGATAATTTGAGGAGGAACGTCTCTGTATAGAACAAAATCCAAAATTTCTGTTTTGTTCAATAAAATAAAAGGTATGAAAACTCTAAAAGCGTTTGGATATTTGAAAACTTTTTGGAAATATAAGAAACAATTCGTTAGATTTACTTGTTCTTGGATAATTTTGGTAACTTTCGTCATTATCATTTCAATATCGAAGTGTGCTGCAAATATAAATTGTTCGAATGGATTTTTTATTTCAAAACTATTTAAATTTATTAAATTTATAGAAAAATCAATGATTTCTGGTGATATAGAGATTGATGTAGTGTATTCTTTGACTGTTGGGTTATCATGTAGTAATTTTGAGAAAAATTTGGAGATATTGATAAGAATCTGAGAGTTAACCATGTATAATTTATCATTTATTGTAAGTTTAAAATCCTTTGGAATCAATCTAAAGTATTTGTTGATCGCTGATTGATTCAACATGAAATTATTTGATTTGATATAACAAAAATGAATAAATAATCATGTTAACTAATTTGATGATGACACACAATACATCATTAGTTGCAATATAAGGTCAGTCGAGATTTTTTTCTAGGAATATAATTGATCCACCCAATATATACCAGAAAGGTGAGAAAAATGCAAAATTATTGATATCGAGAATATAGAGCATGTATATCCCATTTCATTGATAAAAAAATATATTTTTCATCGAAATTTTACCAATTTTGAATTAAATAATTACAATTAATAAATGTAATATATTTAGTATACACATATAATAATACAAACAAACAACAATTTCAAGAAAAATTGAATAATAATATTAATTCTAGTAAACTCTTTTGAAAATACAGAGGAATTAAAATGATCTAACTAAATTACGAAGCTCTCTTAGTGTTCCAACTTGTAATTGATTAAGAGATATTGAAGAGTTTTCTGTGATGCCAAATGCAGGTTCCTTTGCCTGTAGTAGAGTTAGTATTGTAACTAGTTTAGCTTCATCAGTGATTTCTCTAATAGCTTTAGCAAGTTTCAATTTTTCTGATTCGTTCATTGGTCCATTTACGACAGGCTGCTCCTTTGGTAGTTTTCTTGGCTTTTCAGCAGGAACTTCAACTGAAGGTGGCTCTTGTTTACGGTATTGTTTCTGTGGAGGTGTATCTTCAATTGCTGGGGGAACATATTCATCGGTTGGATTCGTGATTTGTAATATTTTATTAGGAAAAGTAGGCCGACAAGATTTTGTGTTAATTAATAATTTCATATAACTATATGAGGCGCGTTCTAAGGCTTCTTGCCATTTTGATGGATTAACAGGATATTTTTCTAATAGATTATTGAACCAAAATTTCATTTGTTCTGCAAGTATATGTAAAGTGTCTGTTTTCCTATAATATAAAATTGCGTTTGAAAAAACTAAATCTACATCGGCCTTCCATTGATCAGCACTCGAATATGAGTTTGATAGTATTTTATTTTTAACAGTAAGTAAATCCATAGGTTGTTTGATATAACGAGCGTAATCAGCAAAATCAGGACTATTTAAATCGATAGGTTCGCAAAAAACGCACGCAATTTTATATTCCATAAGCTGAGTAGTTATTTTAAGCGTAGCTTGTCGTTCAAAATCATTCATTTAATTAAATTTGTCACTTTTCAATTTATTTTTCAAATTTTGGAAAAAATGCGTTCATAGCTTTCTCTCTATGATGTTTAGAATTGGTATCTGATGTGGATATTAGATCCATAATAAATATGCGAACAATTTTTATGATTATAAGGGGTTTTACACAGGGTGCAAAAAATGTGCAAAAACGATTATTTAAAATTGAATTTGTCTATTTTTTGCGTATTTGAAAAATTTTGAAGTTGGCCATTATTAAAAATCAAATCCATTAATAAAGAATGGCAACAGATGCATATGCAAAAAATATAACAGGAAAAATTACATTCATTTTGACTACTTTACAAGGATTGATTTTTAAATACACAAATAATGCACAGATTGAATTTAAAATAATCGTTTTTGCGCATTTTTTGCACTTGTATGAAAACACGATATAAGTAATTATTTACTAAAATAAATAGATATGCTAAATTGCCTATTTTGGGAGTGGCATCACTCCTATATTGGATTTAAATTTTTAAGAAAAACAGTATGCATTTACATGTAGAAATTAATAAATAGATCGAAGCGTATATATACAGTACTAAATAGTTATTGCCGAATTAAAGGTCTAAACAGTTATACAATAATACTCCACCTAGTTATCGCCGAATTTTCCAGCCATAACTATATAGTGAAGTAAAGCTATAAAAACATAATACTTTTTTTTATCATCGATTGATGACTATTGTAAAAAAAGCTATTTCCTCTTAGCATTGCGTTGAAAGTTACTCATTTCATTTTCGAATTTATTGGATGCTGATGGGGTTACTGAGGATGGTTCTTTTACATCATTTAGTAATTTGCGATCTTTGCGTTTATCTCCGGCTTGGGAACCTCCAGTAATCATTGTTTGCACATTATACGGAGGTTTACTCTGTGATCTTCTGTGGTCATTATCACAAGAACTTGTTGATTGAGTATCATTCAATCGATTAGATGATCTAGCAACATAAGAACTTGTTGATTGAGTATCATTCAATCGATTAGATGATCTAGCACCGTAAGAACTTGTTGATTGAGTATCATTCAATCGATTAGATGATCTAGCAACATAAGAACTTGTTGATTGAGTATCATTCAATCGATTAGATGATCTAGCAACATAAGAACTTGTTGATTGAGTATCATTCAATCGATTAGATGATCTAGCAACATAAGAACTTGTTGATTGAGTATCACCGTATCGATTAGATGATCTAGCACCGTAAGAACTTGTTGATTGAGTATCATTCAATCGATTAGATGATCTAGCAACATAAGAACTTGTTGATTGAGTATCATTCAATCGATTAGATGATCTAGCAACATAAGAACTTGTTGATTGAGTATCACCGTATCGATTAGATGATCTAGCACCGTAAGAACTTGTTGATTGAGTATCATTCAATCGATTAGATGATCTAGCAACATAAGAACTTGTTGATTGAGTATCATTCAATCGATTAGATGATCTAGCAACATAAGAACTTGTTGATTGAGTATCATCGTTGATTGTTGATAAATATGATTTAATATAATAATCAATATCAAAATGTTCAATTGTTTTATATGATTCGACTTCTTTTTTAATCTCATCTTGATTTAGATATTTATAAAAAAATTCTCCGGCTGCTATTTGATTGTTTTTGATAATATTGATAAATTTCGATGCTTTGTTATCAGGACTTATTGTGTAATTATTCTTATTCGCCATAAAAATTTTACGTATTTCTTCTGCATTGTATTGTTTAATTATATGGTTCTTGTTCCGTGCTCGTATACTATTATCAGAGTTTGTTGGTTGTTGTTCTGGTTGATTTGATGTTTTAGTTGCATCATCAGAGTTTGTTGGTTGTTTTTCTGGTTGATTTGATGTTTTAGTTGCATCATCAGAGTTTAAATTTTCGACGCCAACAAGTTTTTCGAATATATGTTCAGCCAATTTTTTAGTATCAGAATCAACCAACAAACAATTCACAATAGATTCTAAAAATTTTATTTGCAATATTTCTGCTGTTTTGTACAAGTAATTAAAAAGATCTTCAAAATTCTTGAAATTAATATTAATGTTGCATAAAATACTGGCAATTTGCTCGTTTTTGAATTTCTTTTGAAGTTGCTTGATTAAATTTAAAGCAGTCTCGCAAGAAAAATTTGATGAAAATTTTAGTAGTTCAATAGCGTGTTCAACACTTTGGATTTTGCTTGTGAACTCTTTTTTATCAATAATGTCTTTCAATTCGTTTGCGTTGCTGTCATAGATGTCAGTAAATTTTAGGTTCATTTATCTAAAAAAAATGTCAGTAGTCAAAAGTGAATTAGCTATGATTTATTCAAAAACGGGTTGTCCCATTATATAAGATATTTTTAACTAAGGGTTTCGTTTTGCTAAAATTGTCACTTTTATAGCATATTTGTTTTTGGATGTTTTGCGAAACCAAAAAAAAAACTATGATATACAATGTGTGTGTAAAGAAAATACTTTATTTACTAGTTAAAAAATCATTTGGTATTGATCAAGTTATTTTTTCTGGATAAGATATTATATGGATAATTGGATAGAAAATACAATTATATAATCTTGTACCTGGTTTAATTAAGCTAATTGTCATCAGAAACTTGTAATTTTTATGAATTTCAGATTTTCTTTTCATTACTGCTTTTCTTAATAGGTCAAGTAAGGGTTTCGTTTTGCTAAAATTGTCACTTTTATAGCATATTTGTTTTTGGATGTTTTGCGAAACCAAAAAAAAACTATGATATACAATGTGTGTGTAAAGAAAATACTTTATTTACTAGTTAAAAAATCATTTGGTATTGATCAAGTTATTTTTTCTGGATAAGATATTATATGGATAATTGGATAGAAAATACAATTATATAATCTTGTACCTGGTTTAATTAAGCTAATTGTCATCAGAAACTTGTAATTTTATGAATTTCAGATTTTCTTTTCATTACTGCTTTTCTTAATAGGTCAACTTCTTATTTACGTTATAAAGTATGATATTTACAAATATCAAGTTATCGTGTTTTTTGAGAAATTATGAGAAACAAACAAAAATGAAAAAGATAGGAATAGCAATGAATATTGATGTGGGTATAGAAAATGTAAGAGATATGAATGCAAAGCAATCAGTATTTAGGACATTGACCATAGATTTCGAAAAAAAATGCTGCATATTGAGCGAAAACTATGATTATATTATAAGGCTGTCATTTAAAGCATAATGAAACTATTCCCTTTTCATTTTAATCGAATAAGATAGTAAAGATTTTTGAATTAGCTAGAAACTGATGAGATGTTTTCACAAATCAGATTTTTAATCTCTATAATGCATAATTCACTCAATATCTCAATTTTGATATTGCGAGATATTTTTGCTATCGGTTTCGCAATTTTGACACAATAGCAAGAGGGTTCTATAAGCATTATTATCAACGTAGAATCTGAATATCATATCAGAAAATGTCGCAAATCCGACATTTACCCGACCAAATAGCAAAAATAATTGAATACTTTTCGCAAAAACTTTAAAAATCGATAAAAATATGAAATATAGATATTAAAGAGACTTTTTATATAATATTCATAAAGATTTTCCAAAAATATGATACCGCAAAATTAAAAAAGTGACGTCTTGAGTGGAGTCAAAGGTCGAAATTGCTAGCTAAATGTTTTTTTAGCGAAATTGCGTATTGTACGTTTTTTTCGCAAAACGAAACCCTTATTTTAACAATTATAATTATAGCATTTTTACGATTTTTTAGATCAATCTTCAGATGCAAGCCAGAACTTTTCAGAAATTTAAGCTACTGTTTTTGCATGATTTGAATCTATGCTGTCATGCGCTTATTTCAATTCCAGGCAAAATAATATTTTTATTTTTAATTTGACTTAAAGCTTGAATATCCAAACTATCAATTTTCCAAGTTATTTTTAATAACTTATTGAATATATAAAAAAAACTTTGCATTAAAATAAAATATAACAAATTAATAAACCATTTACATAAATAAACAGAAGACACAATTAAGAGGAAGGCGGTTGCCATTGCACTTTGAAGGTTCCGTTAGCAATAGACTCCCAATTCAAGTTTGCGAAAAATTCATCGCGTTTAATTTCTTCAAAGCCGAGTTCTCCTGCTCCAAGTCTCTTATCAGGAGATTTCTCAAGCAGGCGAGCACAGATATTCTTGGCTTTTCGAGAAACATGATGAGGGAATCTTAATGTTCCATTTAAAATAACTTTTGTCAATGCATCTTGGTTTTTCTCCCAATATGGAGGGAGTCCGCATATCATTTCATATAAAATTATGCCTGCAGAGTACCAATCTGCAGATTCGGTAATTGGCAAGCTTTTAATTACTTCTGGAGCTACGTATTCCGAGATTTCTGGTTGAAGATGGAGTCCTGGATCTGTAACTATGATAAGACCTTCTTTATTTATCAAAACATTTGACATTTTAAGATCTTTGTAGATGATTCTGTTTTTATGTAGGTTATCTAAGCACGTTAAGACTTGGGCAATATACATACGTGCTGAATCTTCTGATAAATTGCCTTCATTTTCGATCTTTTTACTAAGAGAGCCATAAGGGAGGTATTCATAAAACAATTTAACGTCATTATCTGTCTGTAAAATATATTTGATGGGATTGAAGTAAGAAAGCCTTGTTTTAAGAAAAGATGTACGAATTTGAACTTGTTCTTGGAAACGCGGGTCGCTGGGCACTTTGTTATATGCTTTCATGATATATAATTCGATTGGATTATCTTTCCTTGAAATCGTCTGAATGATATGTAAATTATTATTATCTATAGGATGAACAACTTGAATGTCTTCCTCTGTCAACTGTGCACTTTGCCCGCTTTCGTCAATGACGCTGCTTAATATTTTAACCCATGAAGCGCGGGTAGCTTCATCTGGAGCTGAAATAATGTAAATTCGAGCTGGAGTAATAATTTTGAATGAAAATGACTTTTTGCTCTCAGGTGCTATTGCAATTGAAACTTTTTTATCTAGTAAAATTTTACCTTTTTCGCCAATTCCTGGTTCTTTAGCATAAAATAGCGTTTTTCCAATAATATAAAACCAGCGTTTATGCCAAGTCTTAAATAACCCACCTCGCTTCGTCAGCCACCCTTCTTTGATGACAAAAAGAGCTTCAGACATATTTCTTTGCCACTTTTTGTTTTATTTCGTGTAACGAAAAGATAAAATAAAAAGGAATAAGGGTTTCGTTTTGCGAAAAAAACGTACAATACGCAATTTCGCTAAAAAAACATTTAGCTAGCAATTTCGACCTTTGACTCCACTCAAGACGTCACTTTTTTAATTTTGCGGTATCATATTTTTGGAAAATCTTTATGAATATTATATAAAAAGTCTCTTTAATATCTATATTTCATATTTTTATCGATTTTTAAAGTTTTGTGCGAAAAGTATTCAATTATTTTTGCTATTTGGTCGGGTAAATGTCGGATTTGCGACATTTTCTGATATGATATTCAGATTCTACGTTGATAATAATGCTTATAGAACCCTCTTGCTATTGTGTCAAAATTGCGAAACCGATAGCAAAAATATCTCGCAATATCAAAATTGAGATATTGAGTGAATTATGCATTATAGAGATTAAAAATCTGATTTGTGAAAACATCTCATCAGTTTCTAGCTAATTCAAAAATCTTTACTATCTTATTCGATTAAAATGAAAAGGGAATAGTTTCATTATGCTTTAAATGACAGCCTTATAATATAAATCATAGTTTTCGCTCAATATGCAGCATTTTTTTTCGAAATCTATGGTCAATGTCCTAAATACTGATTGCTTTGCATTCATATCTCTTACATTTTCTATACCCACATCAATATTCATTGCTATTCCTAATCTTTTTCATTTTGTTTGTTTCTCATAATTTCTCAAAAAACACGATAACTTGATATTTGTAAATATCATACTTTATAACGTAAATAAGAAGTTGACCTATTAAGAAAAGCAGTAATGAAAAGAAAATCTGAAATTCATAAAAATTACAAGTTTCTGATGACAATTAGCTTAATTAAACCAGGTACAAGATTATATAATTGTATTTTCTATCCAATTATCCATATAATATCTTATCCAGAAAAAATAACTTGATCAATACCAAATGATTTTTTAACTAGTAAATAAAGTATTTTCTTTACACACACATTGTATATCATAGTTTTTTTTTTGGTTTCGCAAAACATCCAAAAACAAATATGCTATAAAAGTGACAATTTTAGCAAAACGAAACCCTTAAAAGGAATTGATAGATTGAATCATAAAATCAATATTTTTCGGTGGAGAATTATCAGTTGATCAGATAATAGTCAGATTGAGATTAGAAGAGAAATAAGTGATGCTCTGCAAAACGTGTGTCAATGGGTTATTTCTTTCGGTAAAGAAGAGTCGTAGGCTTAGATCTTCATTTTTAAAAACCAAGATTTCATTTGTATATAAAATCAGTCATATAATCATTTTATATTCGAAATCTCATAAAATTTTAGAAAACATATAAGGAATCTTGTTGAACTCCTTATAAAGTTTAAATTTTAAATGTCTGTTAAAATCAACATTTCGTATGCTAAAGACTACAATGTTGGTTACTCATTTATACAATGTCCTAACAAAACAGTCGAATTAAGCCATATTCAAGAGAATACGCGTAGAAACATCGATGATCCTTGAAATTGCCCAATATATATTATTTGCTACTTTACTATTGGCATTTATTCTATTTTATATCAAACGAAAAGCAGCTTCCACTCAAAGATCAACAATTGTTATTATTCTTTCATCTTTATTCATGATGGATCGCTATTTTCCAGAAATAATTAATCGATACTTTTCAATATTTGGCCTCTGGAGGATGTCATCTGAATTATTTGCCGAATATTCTCCATTAGTAAGACAGAATCAGAATTTTTACAAAATCATGTGCCTAGTTCCATCCTTATTTTTGATAATTATCTTTAATCTTCATTATGATCTTTTTCAAATCCAATGATTACGCTATTTGGTAATTTGATAGGTTTAATAGTCCCGGGATTAGCCGCAAGCTTTTTGTTCATGGCAGGAAACACAACACGCAATTTTGCCTTAATTATTCAGATTATGTCAGGAGCTCTCGTTGTTTCTGCCTAATATTATATTACATTTTATTGCTTTACTGACACATTATGATTCATCGTTTTTGATTCGATTATTTGAGTATTCAATGATTTCTTCATACGCGTTCTTCCAAACCATTATTAAGTCAGGAGAAATGATTGAAAAAGAGGCTATGAGTCATCTGCCTCATAGTAATGTTAGAAGCTATGATAAAATCGATGAAATCTTAAGAAACCCAGTTGAATATCTTATTACAGTTTCTGGAAATATACCGCACTTTGGTAAAGAGTCATTGCTTTGGTAGGTGCATTTTTTTTTGGCGCCAATTTATACAAATCAAGTCAAATATTTATTTGTGAAAGTACGATATCATATTTTTCATATTAGATTAAATTTTGGACTTTGCGGGATAAAAATAAAATGACCTCACTTTTTTTTTATTTATAAGTTTATGTTATCTTTCCTATTTCTCCATGGCTGTTCGAAAATCCAATTTTCGGAATACAACATTGTGCTGCCATTTAAATTAAAAGACCATAAATCACCCACATTTAATCTCACAGCTTATAGAGGTAATGTTAAATTTGTTTCATTAAACGAAAAACTTTTAACCGTTCAACCTAATCCATCAAGAAGAGATCAGAGCTCTGCTATGTTAGTTGTTCATCATGAAGGACCAAATCCAGAACGAGTTAATATAAGTGTTACCTCTCCAAGCGATGAACCGATCATATTTCCTGTTTATATTGAAGGAATTCATTCAGCTGTTATTGAGACAAGACGAAAATACTTATACACTAATATAACCATCGATGAATATAGTATAAAACCGAAAAATGAATTTGGAGACATTATTGAAACACTTGACGGCTACGACGTTGAGTGGATCTTTAATTCCTCAGTAATCAGACGTTTGTCCCAAGGTGAAATAGATCGTGACACAATCGGTAGTAAACTCGAATCCCACATTTTCGTTCAAGGCATTTTACCCGGTAAGTTCTCCCTAGGTGCCAAGATCGCCAACACAGTTATTGTTCCTAACGTTACAATCACAATTATTGATCCAATTTATCTTCTTCCAAGCTCCAAGACAATGCTTCCAGGATGCAATTTCCAAGCTAAGCTTTGCAAGAAAAATTACAACACATATAACAACAGTTGTGATCAGATCGATCTTCCAAAAGAAAAGTACTTCTTCAGTTCTCAAGATGAAAATATAGTTACAGTTGACCAAAGTGCCAGAATTCACGCTGTTCATATCGGTACCACACAAGTCCGTGTTACAAATAAAGAATTCGCCCTTAACAGAGTTGATATGAATATAGAAGTTGTTTCGCCATCAAAGATATTCATTCCAGAACAATGGATTATAATAGGAGAAGCACCATCGACTGATGGCGCAATATTCTATGATCATAATAATAATATACTTGACAAACCAGCTCACATTGATTGGCAACTCACAGATGAATATAAGAATCTTGGTAATCACACAGTTACCGCTACTGCTTTTGGTAAGTCAACACAATTCAGAGTCCATGTTTACGAGAGACCAAGATTTGATCCAGATGATGTTGTTCTACCACTTCACCACAATGAATATTATCCCAACCTTATTTATGGCAGTGGTGATTTCACATGGAGCACACCCAATATTAAAGGAATTATCATTGGCATGTTCCATAACATCATCTCCTACGAAGTTGGCAAGTATCAAGTCATTGCACACGACAACATATTGAATGTTGATGCAATCCTCCATGTCACCATTGAAAAAATGGTTGATCCAAGATTTGTATTCCCACGTACAGAGTTCATTCCAAACGAGAATGTCAGCTACACATTCCAAGTCAGATCTCAGGGTGGAAGACCATTCACACACCTTGATCCATTCACTGTCACATCAGCACAGCCAAACATTGTTCATGATTCGGATGATATCCTTACATCTATTTCCAAAGGCTTTGCAACAATCACATGCAAGATCACAGACTACGAACAAATCACATTAATTGGTGTTTATGAACCACTATCTGTTACAAAGATTATCACCGTTGATAATGTTGAAGAAGAAACACCAAATCTCGACCGCCAAGATGGTCCAATGCAATGGCCGGATTCTAAGAAACCAAAGGCTACAATCACATGTGGCAATGCCAAAGTAGAATTAATTGATGACACTTATCTTCGCTTACGTAGCTCATACAATGGCATGTGCAAACTCAGTGTTGTTAACGAGAAGACAGCGGCTAACCCATCTCCCAGACCAGATTCTGTTGAATTCCAAGTCAGAGCTATCAAGATTGATTCAATAGCAATCGTAGTTATTGATCCTAAGTCAAAGAACATTCCAGAGAGTGGACTTGCTAAATCAACAGTTAATACTACTGAGATCCTTGATTTACAGGGCAAGGATGTCAAAATCCCAGCAATTCATCAGCCAGAACTCAAGATCTTTGCTTTTTCAGAAGGTAAAAATCTAATTGGTGAATATTCTCATCCAAAGCAGATCATTCAAGTTGGTGACAGAGTCTTCAACAAGACATCTCAGATTCCATTACTTGACGATGAAACTCTTATTACTGTTATCATGCCAGAATCATTACAAGTCAGACCAGTTTCAGTCAAAGTCATTCCAATTCAGAAGATCACTTTACAAGAAAACATCTCCATTTATGATAAATCCGAAACTGGTGTCAGCATCCCAATTTCTGGCGGCACAGGAAACTATACTATTGTTTCTGGATCAGGTGCCACAATCGATGGTAACTCTCTTACATTGATGCCATCAAAGGCTAACCTTGAAAGAAAGGTTACAGTCAAGGACTATTTCATTGATGAATATAAGGAAACAATAGTTGTCCGAACAGAAGCACCAGCTAGACTTGTCATTGAAGGCCCGGATGTCTGTGTAGTTGGAACTATTGTTAGATTCAAACCACACGTTCTCAGCGCATTCAACAACGAAATCCCAACAACATTTGAAGATTACACAGCATCTACTCCAGGATTAACTCATGATCATGACAATGAGTGGGCGATTACTGCTACTTCCGAGGGCAGAATCGACATTGTCATGTCAGCATTAGGGTTATCTGGTTCTAGGATATTAATCGTGCTCAACAAGATCATGATTGACCCAGAGAACGTCACAATGTTCCCAGGCGAAACATTAATCCCACACATCATCGGTGCTGGCAAGAACGACATTGTTATATTCAGCACAACAGATAAAGATGTTGCCAACATGGACGGTAACATTCTCAGAGCAGTCAGTGCAGGAAAATGTGTTATTACCGCCCGCATCGAAGGCAAACCAATTCTTGGTGAAGCCAACCTTACTATTCACGTTCTTCACATCAAAGATTTCAAGATCCTTCAGTTCCCAGAACACCCATACGTTGATTCCATCATCCATTTGACTCCAATCTTTGAAACAGACATTGGACCAATTATCCCAAGAACAACTACTTGGATTATCGAAGGAAACAACCAGTGGGAGAAGCTCTATGATAACTCCGTCATCATTAGAGCCAATAGCAATCAATCAATTTATGTTAATGTTACAAGTCTTCTTGAATCAGTTGCACAGTACATCGAAGTTGATGACAAACTTGAACTTGAGACACCAAGAGAAATATCAATCCCAGTTAACCATCCATACACAATCAAAGTAAAGAACAACCTTCCAGCCAACCACTCAGTCCTTTGCAGCGAAAAGGGATTGAATGTCCAAAATGGAACAATCACTGGCACAAAACCAGGAAGATACGTCGTTAAGACAGATTACAAGCAGCAGTGGCAAGTTACACAAGTCACTGTTTCAACACCAGAAGAACTCTATTTACAGACTGACGCAGCTTCAATCCTTCCAATTCCATTAGACATCAATGGACAGCAGTACACAGAGTTCTCTCATGACAACCTTAAGTACAACGTTTCCAAAGAGGCCATTCTCAACAACGAAAGATACTCATTCGGTGAAGTCGAAGAGCCAACATATGTCCAGTTCACATTCGCTGATGGAAAGAACTATGCTGTTAAGAACACTACATTGATTTCCCATTCCATGGTTTATCCAGAAGCTCCATTTGTAATGAAGGGTGCATCACTTCAGTTCTCTTGCGCTGCCAAACGCCCAAGATGGTCATCATCCAACGACTATGTTGTCACAATCAATGATTACGGTCTTGCCAAGGCTGTAAAGGGCGGAAGATCCACAATCTCTTGCGACAACAAGCATACAACTCCAATCACAGTCGTTGAATTGAGACAAATCCAAATCAACGAGCGCATTCCAATGAAGGAGTATGCCATTGAGCCATCGTATACAGGAGCAATCGGATCTGCTGCAGGACAACAAGTTTATCTTCCAAATGATATCCAGTTGTCATGCTCATGGAATGCTCCATCATGTGGTGAAGTTAAGGTTGTCAGTCCTAATAACTTGTCCAATGCTTATTGCCAAGTTATACTATATTCTAAGAGAACATGCCCACAATACATTGATTTGAACGCTACAATTACTTCAAGAATCACAGGACTTGAGGTCACAGGACACAAGAAGATCATCTATGAGTCTGATGTTTGGGGAGTTCCTTCATACATGCAGATCATGTTGACAAAGGAACATCCTTCCAAGTTCATCCCAGTCAAGCCATCCAAGGATGAAATCATTGTTTATAAGGATGCACATTATGAAGTAGAATTCCCAGAAAACGGTGGATTTATCATCAAGGCCACAAAGAGATTCAACGGACAAGGAAAGGTCATACTCGAATACAACGGAACAAAGACTGAAGCTGTTGGCGAAAGAGTAGAAATAGACATTAACCCAACAAACGTAGCTGTAGTACAGCCAAACTTGTGGGATAGATTACTCTTCATCCTCTCTGTTATCTGCACAGTAGTCCTTGGTTTATACGCTGCTTACATGTTAGGACAGAGTGGAAACTTACCTGCTTTCTCTCCTTATAAGACTCGAAACTAACATTATATTTATTTTTTTCTTAGATTTTTTTTAAATAATTTTTTTTAACTTATTATCATCTTTTTAGGATAGATGATCAAATTGAATCCAAAAATTATTAAATATTTATCGCATTTCTGATATTATTGCTATGGCTACAGGAATATATAGCTATACACATTTATTCCCTTCCTGTTGGCTGCACCCTTTGTAGCATTTCTTTCATAAGATTCAGCAAATAGGGAGAATCTAATTTCATACTTTCTATTCTAATATATTATGGATTTTTATTATGAATAGTCAACACCCAACAATTATTCCAAAGTGCTATACCCTATATTTCCAACTCTTGGAAAATTTTCATGACCCCCCTACCCAGGGTCCTTAAATGGGTATTTTCCTCACACAGACACCGTGGTTTTTTGAGCCGGGAAATAAATAGCGCAGACAGTTTCTACATATAGAGACATGCTTATACTTAGAGTTTGACGGGAATCTAAAGTGATTTTTTTCTGCATCTCGAAATCTAATGCAATTTCAAAATCATGAAGAAACTGCGAATATGAGCGCAATTTTTAATATGTTAATATATGAAGGTACCCCTACTACTGCAAATGCTTCAAATGAAAATATAAGAAATCAGATTAATTTGATCACATTAGTATAATAGTGGTCAAGCCAAAAACTCATATATTGATATATAGCCTATGGATATTCATATTATCTACTTTTCATTGAATTACATAGGATTTAATAATCTCATATTCTTTTTAATTTTCCGAATTCCGTGTGCATTTAGATTGCCTATACCTGTATATAATATTTCTAAAATGGTTTGGTTAGATATTAAGTTTTGTAGATTAATATTTTAACATTTTGATAAAACAAGCATTTGTTCCATTTTAGAATCGCCATTGAACTCTAGTTTGACTGACATGATGTTTTATGATCAAATAAATCCTAACTTCATGAGATAAATTTTGAAATTAGAAAATGCGATATCTGACTCAAATATTTATCTGATCACATATAACATTCAATGATAAACTAAAGTAATATACAGCAGATTCGATTTGGCTTATATTTTAAATAATCAACAAATAATCCTATAAAATTGTGCAATTCACGTTTCTCAAAGATGACTTGAGCATTCAATACTTGTGCATTCTTATGTAAATCGATATTTTAATTAAGATGAAATTAGATATAGATTCTTATGTAAATCGATATTTTGATAATTCATATATATTTTGTCTTGGTTTGACATTTGATCGTGTTGAAACGGGAATTGCAATATGTATCACCTGAATATATAATTGTCAAAATATAATCTATAGATTTTTAAATTATGCTCCTTATTTTCACGATCTGGCAGCAGGATTCGAATCAGCGGAGCCAGAAGAATCAGATTACGCGGGGAAAATAGATTTTGAACGCTTAGATAGGGGTAAAATGAGAATTTATGAGGTGTGTTGTATAATTGTAGTTTTTGCGATAATATGTCATGAGATCAGAATATGAAGGGAGTATATATGTGTTATTGCCACAGGTTTATATGTGGGGATAGCTCAGTAGAGTCTGTAGAATAGTTTAGTAGAAGAAATAAGTTATATAAAGCACAAAAAATTAAAAATAAATATGAATAAGTGAAAATTAAATTTTACCAATTTTATGTAAAGATTTGTCTTTGTTAGTTAGAGTATATGATAAAAAGGAGTGCATAATGCACCCTTGTCGGTCAAAGTTCCGCATTCAAGTTATGAATGCGGAACAGTCTGCCATTCTGGGATACATTGCCTCTGCATGTCTCCCAGAATGAGACACTGTGACCGACAGGAGTGCATTATGCACCCTTGTCGGTCAAAGTTTTGCAATCGTATTCTCATTGCAAATAAATGTGCCATTCTGGGAGACATTGCCTCTGCATGTCTCCCAGAATGAGGCATTGCGACCGACAAGAGTGCATTATGCACTCTTGTCGGTCAAAGTTCCGCATTCAATTTATGAATGCGGAACAGTCTCCAATTGATTCATATTTGCAACGTGAATGCTTCCTAAAATTGAATCTCTCTCCCAAAATTTTATGCGTCTCTGCTTCTCTTTAAAGACACCTAAAAAATTTGAAATAATTGCTAAATAATACCGTCAGGTAATGCTCACCTAAGGGAGGTGTTTTGCGGGAGCTGGGGGTATCTTGGTGAGTACTCAGGAGGCCAAGAAGGGCACCCCAACCGACATTTTGCGTCATGCATTGTGTAAGCAACCATTCTAATAGCCGCTGAAACCGTCGGGACAAAATAATTTGTGAAATTGTAATTCATCTCTCTAAGACATATTTTTGGAAGGGCATAAGATACGCCAACATGAAAATATTATTAAATAAGAGAATATCGCTCAACAAAAAAACAATTCTTTTGAAAAGTTTGGAATTTATCTTTCTAATACATATCATATGGAAGGAGTTTGCATCCACAAAATAAAAGCCAGTTCAGACTCTCGTTACTCCTTGAATTAAAATCAATTAATTTCAAATCCTTAAATCTGTATTAAAATCATTTTGCCAACAACCAATACAATTCAAATTTCATTTCCATATATCTTCTTGTCCATTTTAATTTTTTATCTCAAATTATTTCATTTTATTTAAAGCATATTGACGTCAATATCCTTTACACATAGTTATATAAAAGTCAAACACATAATAAATTCTTAATTCTAGTGATATCTCAAAATCTCATTTTTTTTAATTTAAAATATCTTTCATTTTTCACAGTACAATCACAATAAACAAACCATTTATTAATTAACGCATATAAGTAAAATATCAAATTGCAAAACAACTTTCAATATCATTCGCATTAAATTCTATTTTTTGATAATTATCAACTACATGTTATTATATGATATGTGTCATGGCATATTTCACTCTACACTAGTGGCAGACACACACACACAAAGCTGTGAGATTCATACATCTATCAGTAAGACTTCTCAAATCAAGAACACATATGTTTCACTATCACACATCTGTGTAGTATCTAATTAACCCTTTGGACTGGTACTTCAAAATTTGATATTTCATGTGATATCATCATTTGCCTTTATAACAACTTTGCGTTAAACTAGACATGTTTCTCTATCATAATGCAAAATATCAAAGTTTGGGAGGCTCCCAAAGTGCCTGAAACTGATCATAAGGGTGAAAAACCGTTTTCCAGAAGTTGGGAACGTAGGGTAATTTTATAAAGTTCAGGGAAAATCTGAGGAAAAATAGAGGAATTAAAGTCTATGGAATATAATATACAGATGATAACCGACTACTATTATATATTTTTTACATTCGACTTGAGGTGACCAATAGAATAGACTTATGAGGCATATATTAAGAAAATAATACTACCTTAGGAATCTGATGCATATAGAATTCAATTCAGCAAAATTTTGCGTGAATGAAACTCCAATTATTACAATTTGTTTTGTCCTCATATAAAATTAGCTCATACGTTATGATAGAAGATATATGATAGATAGGTAATAAATTCACATTAGTTTGATTTGCTCCCTGTGATTACTTTTTTATTATTACATCACATTTACAAAAAGAAAGTAAAATTGAAAGTTTATCCTATTTCACACTAATTGTTAAAACTCTCAACACTAGAATTTTCGTTAAATTAATCTCCTAATACGCAAAAGAAAGATTCACAATTTAGTATTAAGTAAGCACTCACGCCAATTCTAAAAACATAACAATTTCTTTTCTATTACTTTCTGCTGCAATGTGAAGTGTTGCTTTTCCTAATATAGCCTTTTCATATATAGGTTTAATAATATCGGATGAAATTTGTTGAAAATTAAAAGATTTCATAATGATTTTGACATAATAGAAACAACATACTTTACAAACAAAGAAAAGAATATATCAATAAAAACAATTAGACAATGATGAGATTTGCTGATCTTGTTTTAACTAATGGTGACATGTGGCCATCAGGATATATCATTTCCGATGACTCTTTAAGTTCATTAGTTGGTAATCCGGCAAATTCGTCAAAGGACAATTTCGGAGTATCCATTGAATGCGGTGGTTGTTTTGGCTGCTTTGCGATTGTTGATTGATTACGAATTAGCTTTGGAGAAGGATGCTTAATAGAAAATCCAAGTTTTGGTGTTTCAACTCGAGAAATTGGAAGATTTTGTGGTGATTTTTCAACAGTAAGGAAATTTAGGTCAGCAAATGTAACATTTGGGTGATTGACTGCATATTTCGGAGCTTCGAAGTGGAATTCTTCTTGAATTGGCTTTGGCGCCTTATTTTTGATTGAAGGAAGTTGAAAATTAGATTGAGAAGGTAGTTTCTTCGGTACATCGATTTTATTTTGCTTGAGAATCTTCGCTAGATTGGTTTTCGGTGGACTGTAGTTCCTATGCTTGTGAGAAGTAATGATCATTATTAAAAATTTTTTTGTCGAAAAATTTTTCCCTGATAAAAAACGTTTTCTAAAATTTTATGAGATTTCGAATAAATTTTGATGATTTTTAGCTTGGAAACAATTATGTGACTAATTTTAAGTACAGATGAAATCTTGGTTTTTAAAAATGAATACTTTTTAATTTGAAATTGAAAAAGATCTAAGCTAACAATCCTCTTTACCGAGAGAAATAAGTCATTGACTGATATTTTGCAGATTATCACTTAATATCAATAAAATCTTTCTCTTCTAATCTCATTCTGACAATTATCTAAAGGATACTATGCAAGATAGTTGCTAATTGGAGTAATAAATTAGGCTACACCAATCATTTCTTTCATTTCCGGTATGACGAGCAGAAAGGAAGCGATCAGTAACCTTAGGAAAAAAGAAGAAAGATGTTCATGAGTATTATTGATGATTAAATTTCAATCAGAACCTTTTATTTCATAGTCATTTTATTTTTATTTCATAATATTTGATGATATGGAAGTTTACAAAATTAATGAAGGAGAAGATTATCAAGAAAAGCCCTCTGATGAACCAATTCATGATAAATATGAGACAGAAATGATAAATGAACAAGTCAATTTTGTCCATTCCTTCTATCAAGATTTAGAATCAACAAATTTACAAATTTCTTCTGAACAACTATTAAATTTTGCACGTATAGTACGTACAGATTGTCAAGAAATCTTAAATTCTTTACAAGATATTGATTTTATTCCGTTATTGTTTTCATTGATCGATCAAACAAAAGATTTTTCTATAATCACTCCAGCCTTAAATTGTATTTGCTTATGTGCAGTAAGATTTGGTATCGTAGTCTCCGAAGAATACCTTCAAATTTTAATTAACATATTTCAAGCTGTTACAAGTGAAGAAAATATAGATATTTCATTAATTTCCTATTTGTTAACTGCTATATCGATATGTTCAGAGCAAAATACACTTAGTTTATTAACTCCTGAGTTTTATCAAAAAATTATTCAATTAGCACCACAGCATATTGCATGGCGAAAGGCAATATCAAACTTTTTCTGCGAATTAGCGCCAAAAATCCAAGAGTTATCTTCAGAATCTCCACAATCTGTTGCAATTTTTTATATTTTATTATTTAAAGATGAAGAAATAATAGATACTAACGCAAAAATAATAGGAACGTTACTTAAAAAGCGTTTGATATCACTAAATCAAGAAGAATTCTTGCAATTATTTTTTGAATATTTTAAATATCCAAACACAAAAATCTTGACCATTCTTTTCAACATTGTCTCTGAATTAGACGAAAGAGAACTCCCTGTTATCAAATCACCGATTTTTGTTAATAGAATTAAAGAAATTATTGGAATCGGAGATAATGATGAATTTACAAAGCTACAATGTGCTGCCATCAATGCATTGACAAGATTAGTTCAAATATATCCACTTGGATTTAGAAGTCAATTTATTGAAGAAGATGAAAACTCAATTTTCCCAATTTTAATGGACGCTCTTAATTGTGCTCATACAAATATAAAGAGATCAATTGCGGCACTTATTGGACTAATATTCGATCGATTTCCTGATTATTTCATGGATGCAATAATGGAAGGCCAAGAACAGATAATAGAAGGTATAAAATCAGTTATTTCGCTAGAAGATGATAGTACAATCATTATAATAAATGGAATTGTTAAATTAATTGAAAGAAATCCTGATTTTAAAGATTCATTGGTTGAACATGGAATTTCTGAACAGATTGTTGATATTTATGAAGAAACAACAAATGAAACATTAAAAGAAGCTATTGATGATCTAGTTAATAAAAGTTTAGAGAATGAAGAATAAATTCTTCACATTTTTTATTATTTCTAAATTTGTTTGAGTGTAGAAGATAAAATTTCATTTGTTTTAGAATTCCATCATATTTTCACATATGTGTGTAAAACAGGTGCATAATTCTGATATGGTTATACTGCACAGCTATATTTAACTTTAAATATTAGCTAATTTTGATGTATTTAAGTTAAATTAACCGGATTAATGAAAGCCATTCAAATATATTCATATTTAAATTTAAGATCTAATCTAACTCAAATCTTTCATTCATTCCTTAGTGTTGTTGAAGAATGGATATTGTGGCTGCTACAAATGCTACAATTCGCATAGCCAATGATCTTTCTCAAATGATACAAGTTTTCTATTTATGATTCAGACGATAGTTTGGAAATTTATTTTACAGTTCCGATCAACGTCAATAATGCATTTAAGATGTTGATAGCTTAATAAATCAAATGTGATACTATTTTCAATGACAGAATAACAAAATTCATGTGAACTTTTCGAAATATCAACTGAATAAAGATATTAACAAATTTGAGCACTAAAAACTGATGATTTTTCTAAAGGCATATCAGCAGATGCATTGTGGTTAATGATATTGATTTTAAATGATTAAATGTCAATATATCTAATACTTGGCTTGCGTTTTTAAATATAGTTTCTTTTCATTGCATAATGTTACAGGACACTTTAAACAATTGAGATATGAAACGTAGGATTTACAAATGGTATATCTTTGCCACTAAATGATACTTATATTGGATTGCAGTTTATTGGAGTACTCGATGTCAATTGATTTTCAGTTTTCAAAATTGTAAAATGAATTTTAATTTTATGCCTGTATGTTTTGTATTGATAGCGGTGAATTAACGAAGTCGAAAAATATTAATTTTAATCATGTTCAAAATTTTTCTCACTTTTGTAAAGTTACGACAAATTAATGAGTCAACTTATTCAGAACTTTGAATACATTGCTGCACACATTAAAGATTATATTGATGAAAACAAGTTGTTTTCTACTTTCGAGATACAAGACATCAAAAAAATCATGAAATTTACAACTCTGACTACAAATGACTTCATTACTCTTATGATTCAATCTCAATCTGAAATCAATGCAAACGAATTATATACTTCCACTCGAAAAGCAAATGTTTCTATACAAAATTATGAAGAAGTCGTTTCAATTTTGAAATCACTCAATAAATACATGAAACTTGGAATCCTTGGTGGCGTTGTTGATTTTTTAATTCAATTTCAAAAAGAAATATCTGATTCAGACATCAAAATACAAAACCTTCAAACAGAATTAAATAAAATTCAAGATCAAAATCAAAAAAGTGACAAAGAAATCGAGTCACCAAATTCTCAATTAAATCAAATTAATGAGGATAATACTAGGTTAAAGAGAGAACTTCCTGGCAGAGAAACAAAGGCTAATCAGATTAATTATGAAAACAGTAATGATAAAGAAATTCTTACAACAATTTCAGAACTTAAGAATTGTAATGATTTTAAATGTGTCTACAATTTCCTTGATGAGCTTTCATCTCAAGGAAATGAGAAAATGATTTCAAAATCATGCGAAGAAGAACTTTGGAAAAAGAAAAATCAAAATTCGAGTTCAAACAATGAAAAGAATGTCCTTCATGTAGCAAGTGAAAAAGGAAATCTCAGACTTGTGAAATCTCTGATTGAATGTGGCTGCGATAAAGAATCAAAGAGTCAAAAGAACTATACTCCACTTATCTGTGCTTCAGGACGTGGTCGTCTTGAAATTGTCAAATATCTTATATCTGTTAGAGCTGATAAAGAAGCAACGAGTAATAGTGGATGTACTCCACTCATGTATGCATCAGACAAAGGTCATCTTGAAGTTGTTAAATATCTTATCTCTATTGGAGCTGATAAAGAAGCAAAGGATAATAAAGGGAGATCATTGATGGATTTCGCAAAAGATAATGTCAAAAACTTTCTAAAATATGTGGTCATTTCAGAGTGAGATCATGTAAAAACTTTCTAAAAATTATGTTTAAAGCAGTTTTTTTTATTTTTATTTTTATTTTTTTTAAGTGTGTACATACCACTTTCTGACATGCTTATTTAATATTTATTCTTATAATCATTTGTTGATTGCCTATAGTATAATAAAAGATAATTTCGAATAAAATGAATTTTTCAAAAAAACTGATGTTATTGACAAAAAATGTATTAGATTATATAGGTTATATGTTATAACTTGTTCGTATAAAAAATTGTAGAATACATGCATAATATAAGATTTTAGATATTTTTGTTGGTGTAGGCACTGATGGGATTATTTAATTCGGGGAGCAGGTATTGATGGAGTTTCATATCAAATGAGTCACCGAAATCAGTATAAATAAATAGAACTTATTTCGCGTGATCATGATTTTTGATTTATGGTCGTCATCTAATCCAATATCATATTTTTTCATGGATGTCAAAGCCGTCGAAACTCTGAATTGATAACTGTGTTCAATCCATGCAGATAGAGATTTGTGTCAAAGAATTTCACATCACTCTCTATCAGATGAACTTTTGCAAACTTCAAGTTTCTGTAATTTATAAACAATTCCATTCTCCAAGTGGCAGGGAACATTGAGAATACACCTGTAATCTGAAATAAGCTGCCACACCAGATCTGCACCGGTAGAACATTAAATAAAGCAGACATTAGATAAAATGAAGAAGTCAACAAATAAAGAAAAAAAGCCCAATATGTATTCCTTGTTTAAATTTAAAGCGATTTTCAATGAATTTATTGTCGGAATTTTCGAATAAATGTCAGATTGAAAAAAGTTTACTCTTAAATATGCACTTACTATTTTCTATCACATTCTCAAAAAGTGGAATCATGGCAAAATGAGACATATGTCAAGAATTTGAGAAAGTGGTAAATAATAAGCAAAGGTATATTCACTATTTTTGACAAAATTTTACATTCACGATTCAAATTGGTGAGGAAGGATTATTATTTTCGTCTGGAAAAGTGACAAAATTATTATGACGAAAATTTATTTTCAGGGTCATGTTAAAAAGATAAATTTATGATATTGCAATGCAATGATACCTACTTGAATTGCAATGCATCTATTTTGAAATTTTGGTGAAAATAAATTGAATAGTTTGAGTTTATGATTTTGACTTCGCTAAAAAATTGATTAGAAATTCAGAAAAATTGTATCAATTTGAAGTTGGTGCTAGAATGATAACATGCACAAGGAGGTATTAAATAAAGTTATGTATGTGTGGATTGTGCTTAAATTAATAGAAATAGAGTTATATTTCAATATTTCAGATACCAGACGAAAATGATAATTCTTAGACATACGATTATTTTTTGATTCAAATGCTGTTCGGCATTAAAAGCAAAAATAATCATATACATGAGAATTACACTTTTCCGACATTTTTGGGTCGCTTCGCGCCCCTGACAAAACGTCGGAAAAGTGTAAATTTTGTCACTTTTCCAGACGAAAATGATAATGCCCCAATTGTGAGCTTTACAAAATTTGCAAGACAAATTTTGCTGCTCTCACAATTAGACTTATGAATTTAGCATATTATTAGCCAAATTGAAAAACCGTTTCACTCATTCAATTTGCCTCATAATATGCTAAATTTCATGGTGTGGTAAATCATATAATAAGTAGATCAATAAAGAATAAACTGTTTGATGTGCACCATTATATTAAACACTGTAAGTATGTCTGTTAATACTATTAACACCTATTATGATCTTTAGTTTTGGGCAGATACCCTAATGAATGTACTTTTGTAATAAGTTAACTAAGAAAATCAAAATTAGTTTATAAAAACAAACAAAATTAAAACTTAAAAAAATAAATTATGTCTCAAATCTTCTGCAAGTTTTTTGACGTCTGGTGTCAACTGTATAGAATCTACTACTGACATTGTATTCAGTTTCTTCAAAGAAGCAGCAGCAACTTCGAAACTTGACAAAAGCAGCAAATAGTAAATTGCGTACTTCTGTAGCTCAGGAACTTTCATCAGCTGCAAAGCTGTAGGTGCGAAATCCAATGAATCGATAAGAAAAGAAATTCGACACAAATAATCAATCATTAAGAAGCAGTTTGAGTAAACAACCATGTTATTTGCAGCTGTAACAAGCTTAATGTAGTTCTTTAAGAAGCCTGTTTCGCCCAATTTCATGACTGTTTGAGAATCAAACGGAATAACTCTCATTAGAGTAGAAAGGGATGAAAGAACGTCATTGCTTGGATTACCACTGAGGCAGGAATTCAAGAAACTGACCATATTCGGGTTTGTTGCCACAATTTTTCTTAAATCTTCCTTTAAAGTTATGGTCATTAAGCAAGTTAGCTGTAAATCAGGGGCAAACTTAGGGTTGGCGAGCCATAAACTCGATTTGTCTAGGACATCTTTTGGAGATATCATTGCACAGCGACAAAGAGCTTGGATTGCTTGAATCGGGAACTGGGAAAGTGAAATTGCTTCAATAAGCATGGGATTTACACGTTTTATTGGGTTTTTGGCCAAAAATTGTATGGCAAATTTGGAAATATTTGCATTATCAAGGTGCGTTGCCATTATTAATGGATCTACATCTAATTGTGGTACTTGTAGACCGTTTAAACAGTTGTACGATGTAATTATCTCATCCGGAATATTTGACATCATTCTGTTTAAATAAATCGGGATACAGTTTTGTAGTCTGGCCTCTCTGAAGAAATCGTACCTAGAGAGGAGTCCGAAAAGTGTCTCCATTAATGGAATTGAGGCTCCTGCCTGAATAAATTCACCGGCTTTGAGAATAAGGATATCGGATACCTTCCATGGGTCTCCAACCTCTGTAAAGTTCGAACAGAAAACGGAAATTAATCGACAAATTTTGAATCCGAATTTCGGAATGAAAGGTTCGAGTTTCTGGACAAGTTCTGTGGTAACAACCTTCGGGGATATTTCGAAGATTGGTAATAGGATGCTCAAACTGAGTTTTACGTGTTCGTCTTTGTCAAATGGAAGAGAATTTTGCAAATTTCGCTTGACGAACTCAGTAAGACAATCTTGGTTCATTACAATAAGCTTTAATATTCCAATAAGTGCAGGAACAGTGATATTTGTTGGATTTTGTTGAGAAATGCATTTAAATACGCAATCGAAATAAAAAGAGCAAGTTTCAGGAGTTAATTGTTTGATATGTTGCTCAATTTGGTTGGAATCACCAGAAGTAACTATGCGATACAAAGATTCCGTGTCAAATGAAGGTTGATTTTGAGAATTCGGTACTCCTGAGATATTTGTTGGAATTCCTGATATAACAATACCATGGCTTTGTAATTGTGCGGCTTTCGCTTCAATAGATGCAAGCGCTTCGTCAACTTTTGAATCAACACAGCCAGGAAAACTGACTTTATGGGATTTAAATATCTTAAATATCCTGTCGAATGGAGGACGTTTCTCAGGATCCCTGTTCCAGCAGAGTTGTATGAGCTTTGCAAGATTTGGAGGCGTTCCCTGAGGAATTGTAAGCCTTTGGTCGTTCATACAGACTGTTCTCATGATTTGTGGTACTGAGTAACCGTTATAAGGTATCTCTTCTGCAAGTAGTTCCCATAATAAAATTGCATAAGCGTAAACATCAACGGCTAATGTGTAATTTGTACTATCGAACATTTCAGGAGCCATCCAGTGAACTGTACCGATATTTTGAGTAACTAATTCGCTTTCTGCGCTCTTGATTCTGGAAGCGCCGAAATCGCAAATTCGAGGAAAGTAGCTTTCGTCGAGAAGAATGTTAAGGGATTTGAGATCTCTATGCATAATGTTGAATGAATGGAGGCGAGCCATACCACATGCAATGCCTAACGCGATAATTGTTTTTTGTGTACCGTCTAAACTCTTTGTTTGATCATGTAATGAGTCAAATAGTGATCCGTTCTGAATGTACTCTGTAACGATGAGGAACGGATGTGTCGCTGTATAACCTGTGAAGTGAAGAAGAAAATAATTGTCGCATTTAGCAAGAATTCTGATCTCTCTAAGAAAATACTGTAGAAATGGTTCTTCTAGTGTTTCATGCTTCAGTTCTTTTACAGCTGTCATCTGTCCTGTGGGAATATATTTTGCAAGATAAACGTCACCGAAGCTTCCACCGCCAATTTTCTTTTCGTACTGAAAATCTGACCTCTGAACAAGAAAATTCGGCAAATCACGACAAAGATTCTCCAGTGTATCAGTCATCAGATTTTTCACTGATAAAATTTGACAAAGTTTCAAATGGCAAAAACTTGTGTGGTTCTTAGAATGAATATATGGTGTCAAAAGATTAAAGTTTGATAAAACTTAGATCCGATTATTTGCAATAACATTCCGTAATCTCACAAAAATTGAGCCAAATTGAATAGGAACACGTATTCTATTTTAAAATTGATTTTATTTTATGGGAGATTATCTATACTAACACAACTTTAATCTGGAATCAGAAAATAGTATCAAGCTCAAACATTTGCTAAAATTACTAAAAATTCAAAAATTCTCGAATGATCGAAAAATTAATTTGAGGCATTTTATAAAATGCCATTAAACATTATTATGTTTTTCAATGGTAGTGAATACTGTGAAGCTGTTCATTACTGATTTTCAGTACCAATTAATTTCTATCTTTAGAATCATGGAAAATGCCAATATCTTGTTTGCAACTTATGTAAATATATGAGTATATAAAAATATTTCAAACAAAAAGATTCTATTTAAAAAAACTACAAAAATTAAAGAAAAATAAGATCATACATCTAACAGCAGCATGCAGAATCATCATCAGCTTGTCTAAATGGAGCCGCAGCTGAAATATGAGGAAGCAAAGGTGTATGGAGTGTTATTTCATTCAAAGCTTTATCTGCTTTAACAGAAGTAAGCTTGTATTTAATAGTAAGGTTTTCTAATGCATGAGCTGTCTTCTGTCTTTGCGAATGAAGGATATCTGACCAATCATAAGGATCATCCATAGATATGTGATTTCTCTTCATCGCAGTATCAAGAAGCTGATATATTTGGGCGTAATTAGGTGTATCTGCAAAAGAAAGTCGAGAAAGAAGATTGTAAATCGTAACTAATTCTGGAACCTTGTTTCCGATAGCTTCTTGAACGTTATAGTTTAACTTCATCTGTAAAATTTCGTATTTGTCTGTTTTGCCTCTCCAAGGAAGAGATCCAACTAACAATTCCATCGAAACATAAAACCAAGACAAAAGATCATCTCTCCTGCCGAGATCTTCGTTCTGGTGTGCATATATAGATGCATAGACCTTGGTTCCACGGAATCCTAGACGCTTTCGTGGAGGTAAAATTTTTCCAGAATTTGGATCAATATAAACATGTGAAAGACCAAAGTCTACTAAGCACAGAGGATGCTCATGACCTTCTCTTGTAAGAATATTGCCTGGTTTAATATCGCGATGAATTAAACCAAAAATATGAAATGATTCGATGCATTTTAGCATATGGTATATTGTTCTGATTGTCGTTGAAAAAGAGAATCGATTATCATGTATTAACTTTAAAATATTTGAAATTGATGGACCTAAAATTTCCATTGAATAAAATGAGAATGCAGAGCACTTTCCAAATGTTCCCAATCGAGGAAAATGAGGAGAAGACTGAATTTGTGCAAGAACCTGATACTCAAATTCGAGTGTTTTTCGTTTTGCTTCCGAATTCTCTGTTTTTATAGCCCAAAGAAGACCTGTTTTTGTGTCTATGGCCAAATAGATCTCACCAAATGCACCCTGACCAATTTTAGGACCGATCAGATAGTCCATAAAGAGAGAACCCATAGAAAGCATCTTTTTTAGGTTAAGGATACCCTTACGTGTCAGATTTTTTGCGCATACGAAGAAGTCATGCTAGACATGAGCTATAAACCTGAAATTTTAGCAACATATTTAAAACTTTTTAAACTACAATACACTTTAATATTCAAGAACAAAAATATTCTTTTTAGAAATTACATAATTATTTTATGTGAAATCTATATAAAAACATATTTTGCGAGCGTAACTTTTTTCTTTATAAGCACCTTATATGACTGATAAACTGTGAAGGCACATAATTGTTAATTCATAGAGTTGATATGTTTCCAAAATTGAGAGGAAATTTGAAAATTGAATACCCTTTCAATTCAATTTTCAAAAGATATCAGCTCCTTCAATAATTGAAGGACGATTTTGATCATTTGCTCTTAAAACAAGTATGCCATGGAGAAAAAAGTTACGCTCGCAAATCTGAAATATAACTATCATATAAAAAATTAAATTTCTAATTTTTTACTCTATAGATATTATTGGCCACTTGTGTAATGCATAAAAGTTTATGTCATATGCATACATTTGGAAGTATGGGAGACGAGGGAAATTACTTCTATGAGGCACTAGGATTTTTAAAAATTTCTCTATCGGACTCACCATTCAATTTCTCGAAAATTAAAAAAAATCAATAATAGCTAAAATGTATTATGCATAACAAATTTTAATGTTACACGGTATTTTTTGAACTTCATGACATGAATTTTCTTTATATTATTTTTTTTTGGATTTTCTATGATTTATGCGATAGGCTGGAACAATTGTAAGTGCAATGATATCATTTATAGAGAAATCTAAAACTTCAGCATTCAGAACTCGCAACCACAAAAATATTCATTTGCTAAGTAAGTAAAGTTGATTAAGTTCGACACTTAGCTTTTATACGTAAAACCAAGTGTGTATTGTTATTTCTTGTTAAATTATTGAGAAAAAAATAAATTGTAAGAGAAACGATACTGATTATTGAAATAATATTGAGGGTAGCTGCAGATTTCTTCATTAACATGCCGGAAATTTGTTAATCTTGGTTTTCTATCATAAAATCTGTCGAAGAATCTAAAAACGGAGATATGAAATAGAGATCATGTAAATCTAGAGTATCCTGTCAGAAAAATAGACTAAGCATGTAACCCTTTTTTGGTCATAAACACTTTTTACACTTAGTCATACAGATGATCATTAAATTTAAACGAGTACTTTTTGTCAGAATTTATTCTTTTACAAAGACAGAAGATTTTAGTATTATTTAATATTAGTGCTGTAGCAAAATTCAAAAAAACGGTGAAAATTCAGTGAATTTTTGAATTCACATTTTTTTTTCGACATTTTTCTTGATATATCCATGCACATTAAGAACACAGCTTTGATACGCTTAAAAAAGCATATTTCATATGAAATTGTTAAAGAAATAAACAATTTATATAAAAATTGCACTTATGGGCAGTTTAAATATATAATTTATATATAACATATATACAAATCCATAGACAAAGTGCAATAACTACAATGTTGTAGAAAATTACAGCAGAAATACTGACTTTTTGAAGGATAATAAGAATTCTTCTAAATGTTGTATTTTTATAATTTGATTGATTTTTTTACTATTTCATTAATCTTTTATGAATAATAATTATTTTTAATATATGTGCTATTAAAATTTCAAATTTTGACTAATATATCTAAGTTATCTGAACGAAACATTTAGAAAATATCATACTTACATTGAAATAGCAAGTAGAGCATATTAATAGCAAGTTTCTTGGCTTTATATCTATCATCTATTGTTGTTTGATCAAACAAAATTCACTCTATTATATGGTGTCAATTAATTAAAACAATTTTTAATAGTTATTTATTTAGTGCGAATAAGTGCAAATTCATAAATGAATAACTTAATAGTAGAAATGAATTATCTGATATAATCTCACATTTTGTCCATCAGAAATACTTTAATTGCATACGCATAACTATTAGTAATACGTCTGGAGTGTCAATTAATAACAATCCCACAACAAGTAAATTCAGATTTTTATTAAACTTATTTTTTCCTAAAAGTTTTCTCAAATTACTATATATACATATGTGGATAAAATAATAGTAATATTGTAAAAAATTAGATAATTTTTTTTATTTGAGAACCTCTCAAAAGTTCATTCAATTTATCAATTGTTTCAGTTTGATGTATATTCATTTCTGGAGCCTAAAACTTTAGCAATCATGACAATATCATATTCTCTTTCTAACTACGCAATGTAAGGGTATCCTTAAATCAAATAAATCATTAACTATAAGTGTACTTGATGAGTAGAGCATAATTTGTTCATCAGGTTTTTGCTATCGTCCCCAAGATATCTCAACCAAAATTTGGAGAACAAAAAAAAGTCTTAAGGATACCCTTACATTGCGTAGTTAGAAAGAGAATATGATATTGTCATGATTGCTAAAGTTTTAGGCTCCAGAAATGAATATACATCAAACTGAAACAATTGATAAATTGAATGAACTTTTGAGAGGTTCTCAAATAAAAAAAATTATCTAATTTTTTACAATATTACTATTATTTTATCCACATATGTATATATAGTAATTTGAGAAAACTTTTAGGAAAAAATAAGTTTAATAAAAATCTGAATTTTACTTGTTGTGGGATTGTTATTAATTGACACTCCAGACGTATTACTAATAGTTATGCGTATGCAATTAAAGTATTTCTGATGGACAAAATGTGAGATTTATATCAGATAATTCATTTCTACTATTAAGTTATTCATTTATGAGTTTGCACTTATTCGCACTAAATAAATAACTATTAAAAATTGTTTTAATTAATTGACACCATATAATAGAGTGAATTTTGTTTGATCAAACAACAATAGATGATAGATATAAAGCCAAGAAACTTGCTATTAATATGCTCTACTTGCTATTTCAATGTAAGTATGATATTTTCTAAATGTTTCGTTCAGATAACTTAGATATATTAGTCAAAATTTGAAATTTTAATAGCACATATATTAAAAATAATTATTATTCATAAAAGATTAATGAAAAAAAAAAAAAAAAAAAAAAAAAAAAAGGTAGTGGGGCTTCCAGGCACTTCGTGCCCTCTAGCCCCAGTCACTTTTCTGTCACTTTTTCAGGTAAAAACATTTTTATTATATATATAAAATGAATTTTACAAAACCACCGTTACCCTTCTTTGGAAATAAGAGTAGATGTAAAGATATTCTATTGAGAGAACTTAAGAAACTACCGAATGGTCTAACATTTGTAGATTTGTTCGGTGGAAGTTTCTATATATCCCATCTGTGCCATACCGTATTCCCAAACTCAAAGATTATATGCAATGACTTCGACAACTATATGAACCGTCTCAAACATATACCAGACACTAACAAAATATTGAGTGAGTTGAAAGAAAAGATACCTATAGGTAAGATGGAACGTATACCATTAGATAAGAAAAATATTGTCAGAGAGGTTTTGAAAAAAGCAGAGTATATAGACTGGGATAGTATATCTGCTAGACTATTATATAGTGGTGCTATAAGAGTTCATGACATTGAAACACTTATGTCAAAAGTTTTATATCTTAACTATACAAATGTTTTCAAAGAGGACATAGAAAAATATATTGAGGGTATAGAGTTTGTGAGATGTCATTGGACAGAGTTGTATGAAAAATATAAAGACAAGGAAAATGTTTTCTTTATAGTGGACCCGCCGTTCTATAACACATGGGATTTTCAATACCAAGTAGACTGGACTTTGAGAGACTCTTTAGAAACTTTAGACGTTTTACATAACCATCCATGCTTTTACTTTACATCCGATAAAAGTGGTTTGGAAAGTGTCATGAGATGGTTAGAGGACATACATGACTATGAGTATAGATATGACAAGATAGAATATGAGAGAGGTCCTATAAACCGGAAAAAGTGTCACAACAAAGAAATTTTATTGGTAAGTAAATGTGGTTTGAAATAGGACTACTTGTTTTAGGTTTTTTCCATTGTGTCATTTACTTATTTGACGTGGCAGAAAGATATAGAGAATATGAAGATGAACCAATGCCTGCAAATGTTCAGTATATGTACTCGTAAGAGATATTTTTATCTAATATTAAATGGACGCACAGAACTTAGCGAATGCACAGCAACCCGGACAACCAAACCCAGAGAATATTCCAAATGAAGTTAGAATACAAACTGCAATGGCAAACTATGGTCAAGTGCCAACAGATGTACAAATGCAAACCGCCATGTCAAATGACGCTGCGTTAGGTTTGCCACCATGGTATGCAAATATGAGATGGAAAGATTTTATACAAACCTGAAGTGGGATATAAACAACTCTATGCAGATGACGCGAACACAGGAGTTGACCCAGAGTATGTTTTCTACCAGAGGAGAAATAGAATGTATGAGCTCCAGTTAAAAAATGCTATGGAACTCAGAAGGAAACGTAAGAGACTAGGCGGACATTAGATTTTACATATAGTAAAATGGGTTTCTTTGGAAGAATAGGAAACTTCTTTCGAAATGTTGGAAGAGGTATATGGAATGGAATAAAATCTGTCGGAAGAGGAATTTGGAACGGAGTCAAAAATATTGGTAAAAGAGTAGGTCAGTTCGTTGGTATTATACCTAAAGACCTGAACCAGAAGAACAAGCTCCTGTTATACAACAGCCTGAACCTGCACCACAGTCTAGTTGGCAACCAAATCCAACACCTCAACCGTATTAAAAGATTATATTTTTACCGTTCGATAGTAGTTGTATATGAAACTAAGTTCTAAGTAAAACGCATGGTATAATGGAACTATTCTCTTTCTTCCATCTGTTGTAAACCATACTTGAAAGTCTGAAATACTTCCACTTGGTGGTTCATATAGCTTTGTAGGTTTTTCGTAAAAGTCATTTGCCAAGCATAAAAAAGAGTTTTGGGCGCCAGAAAATGAAGCATGAACTATAATAGCATCTGAGTCGAAAACATTTTCATATGTTCCATTAGGGTTTTCGACTTCATAAAAGTCCGGGTGTACTGGATATTCTGCAGGCTGATTTAACATCCTCAAAAACCTATACCATGCCAAGTTGTTATATTTTGTAGAAATATAAACGTTGTCTCCAAGGTCTTCTATTTTATTGATTTTAACAGTTGCATTTTTCCTGTCATATAAAATATCGAGATGGTACTCTCCTTCGTCAATGTTAAACTGGTTTGCATATTCGAGATAGATATCGTTTATTTTTTCTTGAAAAGCTTGAAGAGTTGTTTCTAAGTTTACAAGCAAATTCACTTGTAAAAGTTTTCCCTGTTCAAATTTCTCATACGTATGTTTTTCTTTGTTATAGTATCGAACTTCAAAACCGACCGTAAATGGGAAACCATGTATGGCTTCTGAAATGAACTTCATTCTACGAAAGCCAACAGCTTTTGTGACGGATGGGTCTCTTAGCCATCTCAATGGGTAGTCAAAACGATAGCCTTCATGCTTTACGGTCTCTGTCTCAAACTTTTGACCGACATTCGTAAAAAGTTCATCTAATGGTTTAGTTGTAGCAACTCTTGAATTTTCTTTTTCTATTGGAAGCATATTTTATCTAGAATAAAAATGTCGAATGAAACAGCGTCTATGAGAGAAATAAAACACAACCGACAACTCATTGTACAAGCTCTAAATAAGAACACAACAAACTTTTCAAACTATTCTAAGATATCTGAGTCATTGAAAGAAGGAAACTTAAAACTGACGATAAACCCAATGACAGATGAGTTTCTGTTTCAAGACAGTAAGAACCATACTGTCTGTGTAAATCCAACAAAAGGAACTTTAAACGAGAAGCCTATAAAAGAACTTCTTTTGAAAGCAGATGTTGACAACAAAGCTGACAAAGAGTATGTCATTGAAAAAGTTCAAGAAGAACATGACAGAGCAGATGCAACATATGCAACAAAAGAGGATGTTGAAAAGAAAGCTGACAAAGAGTATGTTGACGATGAGTTAGCATATCTGGCTAGTGGGTTAGTGAAGAAGGCAGATAAGGAATATGTGGATGAAAAAGATGAAAAAATTATAGAAAGGGTTGAATGGTACCATGAACGGACATCGAAGATTTTAGAAGGTAAAGCCAATACAGGGTGGGTTTCAGGATGTTTAGACCTTAAAGCTGACAAGAACCATACACATACCATTGCAAATATTACAAACTTACAAGAAACCTTAAACAGGAAAAGTGACGTTGGACATACACATACATCTTCTGAAATAACAGACTTAAACGTTAGCCTTGAAAAGAAGGCAGATAAGAACCATACACACGATTTCTTCGCAACTGTTGGTATAGAAAATATTGCAGGAACGTTGAAGAACCTGATGGAACTGGTGGGGATGTATTAAATTGGAAACCTCCTAACTTTCCACAAGGTTTAACATCGGAGGATGACATAACGACGATAAATACATTAGATGTAGAAATGTCTATGTCATGGAGGATGAAAACAAAGTTAAATTCACTGCTCAAGATTTATATGATAAAAAAGCTGACAAAACAGAGCTTCAAACATTAAAGACAGAAATACTTCAAACACTATATCCTATAGGCTCTATTTACACGTCAATGAACTCTACCAGACCAGCAACAGTTTTAGGTTTTGGTGAATGGAAGCAGATTGTAGACAAATTCTTATACTGTGCTAGATATTCAAAGACGGCAGGAGGTTCGAAGAAAATTACTGAAGCAAACCTTCCACCGCACACTCATACAGGAACTACAAACTTTTCTGGTGACCATAGCCACTCATTAAGAGACCACCCATTATACAACTCAGAGTATGAAGCTGGCTATGACGTTTTATCTCCAGATTATAACCATTCAGCAAAAAAGACTTTTCGACAAACTGAACCAGGAGGAAACCACCAACATACTTTTACAACAAATCCAACAGGCTTGGGTAAAGATTATATGCCACCATTTATAACTCTATTCGCATGGTATCGTTATGCTTAGTCGTCATGTTCCACTTCTTTAGCATATTCGTCAGGAGTTGTCTTATATTTGTTAGGAACTGTCTTTGAAAGTATACCACCTTGAACCTTAACAAGTTTGAAACGAGGTCTGACAATAGTAGTTTTATCTTCTGCTTGCAGTCTGTACATTTTGCCATGTTTGCCTAAAACTTCATAATATTCTCTTGTATACTTTCTTCTATTTTTACGAACACGAATGTGAGTACCTGTCGAGTTCCCATGTTGTCATAGTCAATAGTATTTTCATATGGGTCGCGTTTGGGTATTTCTATTTTTACTTTGTCACCTTTCTGAAGTTTGAACCCGGCATTCTTTCTTGTTTGTCTCTTTTGACTAAACTATTAAATATATAGTCTTTCTCTAAGTCAGGGTTGTTTTTCATTTCTTCGGGGGAGTGGTTTCCCAAACCTTTTTGTTTACGGCTATTGTAAATATTTAAAACTTGTCTCATCTTTGCCATGGAGAAGTGTCTGTACTTGTCGTCATATGACATTTCATCTACCTCACACCTTGTGGTTGATTTAAGTCTCTTAAGATTTTTATACAACTGTCAATGACACCAAGAGCAGAATGGTTTTGGTCGACAATGAAATATTGGTTTACATTTTTTGAACGCAGATAGTTTTTTACATCATCTGATTTGAAAGAACTTTCACAGTCAGATGTCAGTTTTGTTGGATGTATTTGTCAACGAATATTGTCAAAGCAGTTTTCACATCTAAAATATTTTTGGACCATAATGGTATGGCTTCACAGTATCTTGTTTTGACCAACAAATATTAGCCAGTATGGAGGTCCATCTTCTCTATACTCGGAATGTTTTCCAAGATATCCATAAACCAAGCATTTGGTGTTGAACTAAAGATTTTACCATGAGTGCTTTCTTTGTCGCTTTAGAAACATAGGGGTCCTTGTTTGGATTCGTCATTTTTAACCATAAGAAATGGGTTATTTGGCGCATTAGCAGGAGTCGCATCTAGATTTTTACCAGCAGTGGGAACAATAGCCAGAGGTGTATTTGGAGTTGGAAGGAAGATTTTGAGTACTTTAGGTATACTGAAAGAGAAAGCACAACCTATTATACAAACCGTACAGAAAGGTTGGGAGGTAGCACGAGATGCAGCAAATCTTATTCCAAATCCTGAAACAAGAGGAAAAGTTCAAGGCTGGATGGACAATGTAGGAAGACAAGCAGGAAACTACTATAACAAAGCAAATGACTACTATAACCAAGCAGGGCACTACATGGACCAAGGTGAAAGATTCTTTAACAGAGGATATAACCATGCACAACAGTGGGTAAACAACAACCAACCTCAACCGCCTCAAACGTGGGGAATGTAAAGTTTTTTACTGAGATGAAATGAACAATACAGCTTTGAGACAAATGGGCTCAAGATGGATTTGTCGGCTTCCAGCAGTTACACCACCACGTGTTTGTCAAGTTCTTCCTATACCTCAGGAAGTTTTAGACCGACTTAAAAAACCTAAACAACCAGTTGAAAACAAACCAAACTAAAATTTTTTACTGAGATGAAAATGACCGAAGAAGTTGAAACGGTAGATTTGACACCACAAACAAAAAGTTCAGAACCATTGTCAAAACCTGTCAAAGAACTTACAGATGAAGAGAAAAATTCAATAATAGAAGGTGCCAGGTCTGGAAATACAAACCCTAACTACAAAGTCACTTTTCATAGAAATGGAACGGCTAGTATCTCAAAAAAGAAACAGACCCTCACAAATAAAATATTGAAGTCTGAAGGAGCTTTCGAGACAACAGATGGAAAAGTTTACTTCACTGACCAACAGTTCATTATAGAACATCTCATTGACTTAGAGTCGAAATATTCTAAACTTTACAACAAACACAAAAAGTTGAAAGGAAAACAAAAACAAATGGCATATGATATTTATGAAGATGTTAACGACACAACCATACCTGCAAGTGAGGTAAGTACAGATGAACCGAAAAGTGACGAAAAACCGATAGAAGAAGAGAAACCAAAAACTGAAGATAAACCAAAACCAAAGGTTAGTTTCAATACTAAACCAAGTCAACCTTCATTAGCTGGTATGGGTTGGCGTCAAAGACTTTTGGCAGCTGGTGGTTATGTAAAGTAAAGAAAAAAACATTTTTTTATTTTTATAAAAATGCCCCCATATAGAATGGACAGAAGGTCTGCTAGAATAAAAGCAGAGTTAGAAAGATATGGTTGGAGAGTTTCAAAGAAGTTTAAATATAGGAAGGGAAGACCCATAAAAGTCTATGACAAACTGGCTGGTCTGACCTACGAGATGGACTTGGAAACAGCGCGCACAAATTATCCAAACAGACTAGAGAGGTTAGAGGAAAAGCGTCTTATGAATATGCCTTTCGATGTTACTGAGCCTCAAGTTGAAGGACACGACGGCTTTGCCAGGTTCTATTGGAAACATGACGAACAATTGCATCCTTTGAGAAGGAAAAAAGGAAAAGGTGAAGATGCACATGCTCCCATGGAAAGAACAAGATATGCATATGAAAAGTATCGTGAAGTTAGAAGTAAAATTACATCTGGTAGAACCTTTACAGTAAATTTTGACGAAGGAAAGAACAAAGAAGGCTTCATGGGTGTACTTGCTGCCATACAAGACGGAAATAAGAAAGGATACAATCTCAGATTGACCATAACAGATTTGGATGGTCATATATACTATGCACATGGCAATGAACAAACAGCCGCACAACTTCTTGACGCTTTCAAGACTACAAAGAGAGAACAAATGTTTGACTCCGACTCAGACATTTTGAATGCAATTGAAGGAATTGCAAGCGTGAAGTTCGAATGGTACCAACCTAACCCTCAAGCAGTCAGACAACATGCTGGGTATTTCCCGTTCAGAAATAAGTCTGACATTGACTTGACAAGGTATGGAATTTACAATTCAATCGAAAAAATTGTCAATGAACCTTGTATTCTTACATGTCTCAGGAACTCTGGTCTTGTTTCAGATGAGAAAATGAAGTATCTTGAGTCATGTGTGAAGACAAGATACATTCTTAGAGGTCAACTGGCTAAAGTTGCACCGTTGGCAAATGTGAATATCCGAGTCAACATACCGACTGAGAAAGGTTCGTCACATGACGACTATGTTGTTGACTTCAAATTGCCATGGTTGAAGATTGTACTTTTCCACAACCACTTCATGTTGAACGAAAGTCTTACAAACCCATTGTTCGGAAAAGGTAAGTGCAATATTGTCAGAGCTGTTAACATTCTTTTCGAGAAAGGTTTGTTGGA